AAAAAAGCACGGACTATAAACGTAATTTCATACGTGAATCACTGTCATCTAGAGGCTAGTTCCAGGGCGTTTATTAACGTGCTTGTTAATAGACCAACATCCTGTAGTTTGTAAACAGGACGGGTCCTCCCACGAGATCCTGCCACTCCCACAAATGGCCTACACGCTGGAATTGGTGCCAAATTATGTTATTATCGAATCTTCAGAACCTAACGCCCACAGTTGAGTTCACATTTCATTCGTGGTAATTGTGTTATGAAATTGCAAGGGAAAAGTCGAGACTACAATACCCGACTTCGACTGCAGGAATCCTCGATAATCGATCTTGGAGACTATAACAGAACACGTGACGACCTCCAGAGTAATCGTCCAACCGCGACTATGGCCTCCGATGGCGCAGAAATGGCTAATGCAAAGAACGACTATGACGCAAAGCAACTCATTCTGTTCAATCTCTGGTTATCGATATTTGGAGCTAGCACAGCTTCCTAGTAGCACACTCGAAAAAACTCACAAAACACCTATTTTAAAGTAATATCATTTATTTACGCAAATACAGAAGAATAGTAAAACTAGAAGATGATGAAAAGCTGTCCCCCCGAAATCAAGCGTTATATCGATGTTCCACTGTAATACCTTAATTAGATTTTAATGTTCAAAATCTATACATTTTACTTTCCCATGAATTAATAACAAGTACCAAGATTATATAAATAATTAAATTGTGTGACTAATCAAACTCTAATTTCCAATCACTTTAAAAGGAATGTTTGATGCAGAAACGAGCAACCTTTTACAAAGCGTGGGGCTACATTGTAGTGTCTTACCTACTTCTGCATATTAAGTTCATAATATTGGGGACGGATAATGTGATAATTAAACAAAATTATTATTGTATTCAAAGCCTCGCGACACGCTGTTGGTAGGATTTGACGTTTTCACGGCTGTGAGTCCGAAAATGGCTGTCTTCTGGGTTGTAGCGCCGTGTAGTCTAGTTTCAGGAGTCCCAACAACCCAGAAGACAGCCATCTTCACAACATTTCGGAGACGTGTGGCATACCGAGGACCGTTTAAGACTAATTAGAATTGAATTTGTAGTTCAGATGCGTCATGTTTGTGT